TTCAGAAGAGATGACAAGAATCTGTAAAATCATTCGACATACTTTTCTCAAAAACTGATCGTAATATGTATTGTTCTACTTGATCAAAATTGATTTTTTTTCTGCATTTGTGAGTGAAATTTGAGCGAGCATCAAACCGGTATTCTGCTTCTTTTAACTACCAATCAATGGATTTTCTTTCAATTGTTCTACGATGTATGTATATGCATTCAATAGAGGTAAATAATCTTGATTGAATTTTACATTAACTATCAAAATACATTTTTTTATTTTTTTCTTATTAAAGTTTAAAAGTCTTCTTGTTTTTCATATTTGCATATGCAATTGTAATATAATTTTCTGTGATCGCATCTTTTTCTTTTACTCCGAATACATCGACGAATAGCAAGATTCTCTTCATTTATTTGCATACATATTCTCTTTCAGAAATTTCATTTTATTCACGGTAAGTTCTTTTCACAGCGCGAAATTTAGCAGATGACCATTCAATGAGTTGATTAATTGCAACAGCCCGAAAAAAAGAAACAATGAAGATTTCTTTAAAAAAATGTAGACGTTGCATGCAATTCTTCGTAAAGTGATGCATATTTTGGTGTACATTTTAGGATCGTAGAAGACATGTTTCTGAGAAACACTATTGAAGTAAAACATGAGAAAGTATCGAAATCGAAAGAAGTTCTCTAGTTGATCTATGCCATGCTTATTTTTGAATACAAAACAATTTATGTTCCGACTGTTAAATTTAACGCTCACATTGTTTCGTTCAGAATTGAACTCTGCATTCAATGGCATAATAATAAATATCTCATAGATGGAAGTCTCGATTTTTGAAAACATAGTTTTCCAAAGTACATTTAAAACTACCCATCAGTGTCAATTCGAAGTCATCTTGTAAAAAAAAGCATCATCAGGAACTTTGGAAAGACCGTGAAGCCATTGAGCTTGAAATTTTATATCTCTTGGTATTGAAAGAAAACTTTCTGATGTACAGGAAGTAGAAGAAAAATGTACTGAGATTTAGTGCAATTCATATTGGGACACCCATTATGATAATTATTGCAGAAGTTTTGCATCTTGAAAAAATTAGCTTTCCACGGGAATAGAAGATCAGCCCTACAAAAATATATTTAATTAAATTTGGATTATTTTTATCGATATTTCAATCCCAATCAGATAGCTTCGTCGATTGTTGTATGGATTGTTTGTGCAACGAGAATAAATTTTCGGTTTTTTCTTTGTAATGGTTGACACCAAAACTTACACAACAGTTCAAGTTTTTGTCCATTTTTTCGACGTCATTTTTACTGTTCGAGTAAAAGATTTCGAATAGAGAAGATTTCTGATTGCATAAAACAAAAGATGAAATCATTTTATACACTTGAAATCCTGTTACAAAAGTAAACAAACGCTTGAGTTATTGTGCAAATTTTCATCTTCATGACTACAGACCAAAAACAGTCAAGAGCGATTTCTTTTGTAGAGAAATTTCGTACAAAAACCGACTAGTCTGTCGAACTAAAAAATGACTTTAGATCGCTCAAGATTTTCTCTTCTAATAACGTAAGAATAGATATAAAAATGCTATCCTTTAATGTACTGAACTTGACGAAAATACTCATGTGATAAGTTTACTTGAACTAATGTCGGCATACCGTGATAGCGAAGAAAACCGACGGTATAATGGCGGTCTAAAATAATGCTGGAATATACTGGTAATTGTTTTTTTTTATTGTTTAGTATAAATGCTAAGAGTAGATTGAATATAAAAGAAATCTAAGACATCATTTAAAAGTAATATATCGGTTGATTTTATATGGATTACGAAATTTCGAAAATTACTGTAATTTCGTGGTAATTTCCGATACATTTCTGGTTTTTATTTTCGATGGATTATGATGACACGAGGAAAACTTACTTTTTCGAAAATCTGAACAGATCTCTCAAATGTTTGAAGGTTGAAGAGTATATTTGTGACAGAGATGGGCAAGTCAAGTCTGACTTGACTTGACTTGTGACTTGACCTTCAAAGGCAATTCGCAAGTCAAGTAACAAAATGAACATATTTTTGCAATTTATGCGTCTAATTCTTGTCTACATTAAAAGTACCTATCAGAGCAGAAACAAAGAAAAAGAAATTCTTTCATGTACTTCAGATAAGCGGCGGCCAAATGAGAATATATAGTCATTTTTTGGCTTGACTTGACTTGACTTGAGAAATTTTTTCCAAGCTCTTGACTTGACTTGACTTGAACCTTAAAAACCTCTGACTTGCCCATCTCTGTCGACAAGTGAAGAATAATCAAGAATGGAAAGAAGAACAAGTGGCAACTTTTTCTACCATCAACGCGAAAATAAAATGGACGACAGGAACAACAAAATATTATTAACTGTTTCTTTTGTTTGTTTTTTAATAATTCCGATGCCGTCTTGAAAGTAGATAGAAGAAAACGAAAAATACATTCATTCCGCTTTATTCTTCAAAGAATACTTTTATATAAGAGCTAAAGAAAACGTTTCAAGCAAGTTTCCATTATCAAAAAAAATTTTCAGTGATAGAAACGAATAAAACACAGTCGAATTTGAACTATGTGAAAACAAAATAAGTCGATCCAATGTTTTTTATATGTATTTAATCCATTCATGATACTATGTAATGCTGGAATGAAAAATAGTACTCTCAAATGTTAAGCATGCATCTAGAAACATAAGAATAATAAAGATCATAAATGAGGCTTGTTTAAAAATTAGAGCTGTTAGAACTGTATTATGTCGAGTATAATTTGTAATTCATTAATAAGAAAGTACAAAAATCTTCCTATTCACTTAATTTTGTTAATACTGAGAATTTTTAGCTTTTATGTGGTCAATCTTCTAGTCGTCATATGAACAGTTTTTGTTGTATATAAATACACTGCATCACTAGTAGACTTCACCAAACAAAATGACACAAGAATATTTATTATCTCGAAGATTTCAAGAAGAATCGTGAAAATATGTTGTACTTTTGAATCAACCGACAAACAAACACTTTCAATATAAGAAATAGTTATTGCAAAATGCTCATATTCGTAAATAAAAATTCATTTTTATTGCTTTTAAAGTTTGGGTACTAAACAAAGAACAAAAACAAAAATAATTTTTGTATTTCAATGAGAAAATACTTTTTTCAAAGAGTGAAAACAATGATTGATTATAAGTAGAACGAACATTCCTTATAAATACAACACTTTTTAAAACTACAAAGTATAATTTTACATAAATGCATTATCTAATTAGAACTCATCTGCATTTTTCTAAATTACGAAGCGTAACAATCTAAACTCAACAAAAATTGCGAACAACGAGCAAGATAAGAAAAATTCTTGTTTTAGAAAGTTCATAATTTCAATATTCTTTGTCAAAAATATGATTTAGACAGTAATCTCCATCTTGGGCAAAAATAATTTGAAAGAAAATTAACAAAAGGTAAAATCGTTTACCAAAGCCACTAATCGATGGCTAGTTTCGAAAGTGGTCAACGAAGAAGTCAATCGGGAAGTTTGACAGACTAATGCACCTTTCTTTGATGTATTTCCCTGAATAAAATAGCAGTAGTTCGAGCGGTTGACAGTGAGAGCAATCAAAATTTTTGTGACGAATGCTGGTGTGGGTGAAAAGCAAAGGAATACTCACAACCAGACCCACACTCACCTACACCCTCTTTTGGTTTCTTTCAGTTCCGGCTAGATAATATAGAAGAGGGTGTGGATGTGGGTTAAGATTATTTGATCACCGACACTCACACCATTTTATTAGTGGTGGACTTCTTTCATACACTCTTTTTCTTGTCTACCTAACAGGAATTTTTTTTTTTAAAGCCAAGTGAAAATCTTGAGTTCGAACAATGATGAGATTTTATTACTCAGAAAAGATCCACATTACAACCACTACGCTGTTTAATAATATCAATGGGAATAAAACCAGATAGAAAAGAATTTGTAGTTGAGAAGCAAAACAAAGCTTCTATTTAGTGGTACAATATTCTATAAGAGAGACTTATCGAGACTGTTTCTACTGTGTTGTGCAATATGCTATCATGTAATATAAGAATGCAGTCAAACATTGAAAAATAGACATGATGGAGTATTTTTGTTTTTTTCTTTTTGGTAAATAAGCAAATCGTACAATACTGTTAACATTCGATATCGTCAATAGATAAGAGTCGCAGACGTCTTGCCGAATACAGTTTAGAATTCTGGATATTCATCTAAAATGTAATCATCACATATAAAGTTCTTTTCTACAAGGAATAAAATCAGTTTTCTTATCCTCATCCTTTCCGATAGAAGAACAATCAGCTTTGATCAAGGATAAAAAAAAATAATTTTTTTAGGTATTTCCGAATTACAATGGTGTAAGTTATATTTAAACATTATTTACTATTCAATGTCATCTGTGTACTAAGTTTGTTCAATAGATTGTGTTGCTAAAATTCTCACACTTTCTCGTAGATCAATACATGATGTATATGATTTAAAATACATCATTTTTTTTCAAATGTTCATTTATCCATTTTCGTTTGATCTAATTTTTCATTTATAGTTATATAACTTCTAATTAAATCATCTCAATGTTCTGTAACGGCACCTAAATTTGATATTGCCAAATAATTTTGTGTAACAGTTGAATAAAATTTGACAAGACCATGATTATATTATTCATGTTTATCATCCGATAAATCTCTTCATGTTTGAATCATAATTGAATGTACTTCATCAATATCTTTACTTTTTAATGAATTTCTTAATGTATGTAAATAAAAAAAAAAACATGAATAATTTATAAATGGTATCATACGAATTTTTATTTCATCACTTATTTTTAATCTTGGTTAATCATCGAAATTCTTATCATCAACTAATTCTCGAGTTTTTTTTCTTCATGTATGTATTGTTTTTTAAGGTTTTTTTTTTGTTGGTTTTTCTTTTGTTGAACTACAAATATCAATAATACGTGAATATTCATCTTGACGTAATATTATTGATATGATTAGCAATAAGAAATTGATAATAAGCTTCTTTTAAATAAGTACATTGTTCAACAGCAAAACGATATTCATCATATTGAAATTGAATAAAATTTCCATCACTATCACGTACTGTTAAATCATAATTAAAAACTAAACCTTCTAAATGTTTCATTAACCAACGTTGTAAATAACCAATACGAGCAGTTTTTACAACTGTATCAATAAAAACCTGATAAAAAACAAAAGAATTTCAAGTAAAAAAGAAAAAGATATGGTTTTTCGTACTTCTCGTCCAGCCATACAATGAAAGAAATATTCTTGTGGTCGAATTCCACTTAAAAAACTTCTACCAACAAAACCACCTAAGTGTGATGAATATTCATATGGACCAAATGATGGAAGAGTTCGACTACTTGGCATCATTGGTGGATATTTTACCTTCTAATTCTTGTTGACCAAGTAAACAAGACATTTGCATTGCATTTACAGATGATTCTTAAATTATACATCAATATTCAAATGAATGGAAGTGTTTTGCTTATTTCAATTTTTTCCTGATCTATATGCCCTTCGAACTGTCCTCTATCTGTCGAGTATGCTTCAAGAATTACTATAAAGATTGGAAAATCTAAAAAGATTCAACATGCATTTTTGAGAATGCTCTGAGAATTTTCCTGGTTTTATTCGAATAGAAGAAGATAAAAAGAAACAGGTACTCCAAACAGTGTCTAATATCTTTAAAAAAAATATCCAGTCCTATCCAACATATTGCGGCTGAGAAAAAAGTTTTAAGAAAGGTCATTTTTTAGCCCTTGCCACTACAGTATGTTCTACAGAGAGTATTCGAGAATTTTGGATTACATAAATGTCGCTCCGAATCCAAATTCCTCTCATTAATTTCCCTAAAAATCTGAAATTCTATGAACAGTTGGTACACTTCGTGGTGCTTAGCGCATGCATTTTTGTTAAGATGTAGTGCCCAACAGGACGACATACTGCTTAGCAATACACCATCTTGTTGAACACTACCTTAGAACTGTGATTTGGTTTAAGTGTCTGCTGCTGATTCATAGAAATAAGGCCTTTTATATGAGGAATTTGGACCCAGTTAGAAATTCCAGTAAGTTTTCGGACTGGGCCGAAATTTTGAGTATGTCAGCACTTTTACTCTACTCATCAAAATCTACTTGACTATTTTCTGATGAGTTGTTTTTGAAAAGCGGAAGTTCTCTTAACAATAGTGATTAAAGCCATCTAGAGATCACCATCTTTGCAATCGACCAGATTCGATCTATTCAACTAAAAGATGCACTCACTTTCGACATACCTTTGGCACCTGATTGAATTAAAAATTGTAAATTATTATCTGGATATTGTTTGAATAAATGAGACATACATTATTTAATAATTTGATTTTAATATTCATCAATTTGATGTTTTACAATTCATATTCATTTCTTTTGATATACGTTCGTTCAAATGGTTTCGAGGAAAATGTTTTAGCAAATTCATTCATAAATATATCTTCATCAGAATTTTCTGAAAGAAAAAATGTTTTTTTTTTTTTAAAGCATTTCAACCGACTTGAATACGACATTCATTTATTAATCGATCGACATCGATGTGATACACCAGACAGAAGTAAAAGAACATCTAAATATATTTTTTTTTAGAAATAAATTAAATTCAGAGATTATATTTTACCTTCAATTCCAAGTGTAAAATCTCGATAATATTGTAAAAAGAAAAGTGTAAATAATTTGGAAAATGTAGTAACCAGATTAGTAGTACAACATTTTCCATATAATTCATAATAACAATGAACAAGAGATGCAAGTGTTGAACCACAATGTGCCTTATCAATTAAACTTGATAAAAGATGACCATGACGAATAATAACATTTGCATCAGTCATTAAATCAATATTTGTTGCATTTAGTTTTAATGATCATGACTAAATAATTTTTTTTGATTATTATTTTGTCTTTTTTTTTTTTGAATTTCTTATTTTGATTGAAAATTTTGATTTACTATCGAGATTAAGTTGTGCTTATTCAGCTGGTTGAATATAAAAAAGAATTATTGAAATAATCTGAGGGAGAAAAAAGCAGTTTATATTTTAAAAAAATTCAATTAACAAAAATACTTGTTTTCCAGCCCATAATTGTTTTAATTTTCATCAAATACAAGGTGGTAATAAACGGATTTTTTGACGAGAATATGATCCAATAGTAGTATATACAAGTCGTTGATAATCCGACTTAGAAAATCAATGAATAAAAAACCTTTTCGAGCAAATCAAAATTATACTTTTCAAAAAAAATCGATCATATATTGTTAATGCTGAGTTACAACTCTTAAAACAAGCTCAAATCCTCTAAATCTGTCTTAAAGTATTGTTGAAAACCATACAAATCACTTGATATATTTATTTGAAAGTTGAATAATTGAATTTAACTTTCTAGTTTGACATATATGAGGCATCTACTCTAAATACATTTGTTAAGAGAATGTTAACTATGAAAAAAGAAAAAAAGAAAATGTTTCTGTTGAATTGAGAAGTAACAAAAAAAAACAGATGACATCATCTTGTGGCGTCCTCTTTCGGAGAAATAGAAACTTTCATTTTTGATATAAATCAAATCTCTGTGGTAACCGTTTAAGGGAATCCAACGAGTTAAGGGAAATACTGTAAAATGAATAGAGGTCACATTGGAGTGCTAATGGCGGACCAATGAGCTTCAGTTTTAGTAAAATATGGAACATCCATACTTTACAGACTCCGAATCCTATTGGTCCGCCATGAGAGCTATACCGTGACCTCTATTCATTTTACACTGTTTTTCTTAACTCGTTGGATTCCCTTAAACGGTTACCACAAATCTCTCATTTATTAAAATGAATTTTTTTTCAGTTTTTAATATATAAAAATTTCCATGTAATTTCTAATCGGTTCTCTCGAATGGACCATTCCGTTCGAGGGGATCTGAAATCCATCCGATGAATTTTTAGTTCATTTATTAATTTTTTTTCAAAGTAGAAAACAAGATGGAGACACTCAATTATTATTCATCCGATACTACAATTGGTAGTCTTTTATTTAGTAATTATATATTTGAAGAAATTCGTCGTTTAAGTATAAAAGAATTAACATCATCATAAGCAATTGATCGTCTTGGTGCATTAGTATCTGATAGTCCATATGATTTAGCATTAGGACCCTTTGATAAAAAATGATTGTTGTTTTACTTGTGATTTAAGGGATTTGTTGCTTGTTCAGTGCATTTTGGACATATATCACTTGTTTTACGTGTTTACAATCCCGTATTCTTTCGAAATCTTGCTAATGTAAATCACAATAAATAAATTTTCTTCGATCTTTTTTTATATTTTTTTTTGCAATTTTCAAGGTTCTTCGTGGTTGTTGTTGTCTTCATTGTCATACAATTCAATGTTCAAATGTAGAAAAATATTTATTTAATATGCAAATGCTTTAGCTAAAACATGGTCAAACAAATGAAATAGATAATTTACAATCAATTGATAAAATATGGATATTAGAAAAAAAATCTTTAGATAGATTTTATAAAGAGAAAAATGAACATATGAAATCCAATTCACCATCATCATCTAAAATCGAATCAATAACCAAAAATTTACTAGTTATTCAACAACAACTTATTAAAGATTTTGAAGCACGAGCATTCAAAACAAAAAGTTTGGATTTTATATCATTGAAATTTTTGAATCTATTTTTTATTTTTTAGAAAAATTTTGTCTGAATTGTAATGCATCTGTACGTTCACTTCGTGCTAATTCATATATAAAACTTTTTTTATTCTCAGGGAATTTCAAATAAACAAATAAAAGATTATGAACGACGAATATCTAATGTGTTCGGTAAATATTTTATATATTAGCCACATGGATTAGGGCAACACTGACAAAGACAGATTATTTTTTCACACGAACGATGAAAGGCAAAAATCAACTTGTCGCTTCACTCTCAGTAAACATAAAAACTTAATTGGTATCACTGCAATATAGAGTATATTTTATATAAAATTTTGCATATATTATTTAATTTTGCATCTACATGTGATGAATTAGACTCTTTGTCCCTTCGCATAGCATGAAATAAGCATTAGAAATCTGCAGAACCGAAGATTCCTGCAAAATCTTAAAATCCTCAATGAGACACAAACGCACGAACACATATAGAGTATACCTAGAAGTTGCTGAAAATTCCAAACAATTTCCAATTCAAATCTAGAAATGTTACTTCTATAGATTGTTCTTTTTGTTTCTATTGATTTTTTTTCCTTTATTTTAGATAATTTTTAGTATAAAGTTATTACATCTCGTGGAATGGGAGGAAGATTATCAAGTCTTCATTAAAAAAAAAGTGCCATGATTACATCATGATGAAAATGATGAAGTCGATGAAACATCAGCACGTGATCATGGTGAAACAAAAGAAGGAATATCACTTCGTGGTGAAATAGAACAAAAATCATCAGCTCGTGGTGTAATTCAACAAGAATCATCAGCTCCTGGTAAAATACGAGAAAGACCATCAGCTCGTGATGATATACAACAAAGAATATTAGCTCGTGGTGAAACAAAACAAGTAACATCAGTTCGTGATGAATTAAATGAATCAATAATGATTCTTGAAAATGTTAAAGCTGCTATTGATGAAGGTTTAGTTGGTGTACGACAAAAAGGAAGTGCTGAATATCGACAAAAAAAACGGATAAAAAAATTAAAAAAATAACTTATATTGTAATATAAGCAA